GTGTGTGTGTGTGTGTGTGTGTGTGTGTGTGTGTGTGTTTATGGAGGAATATCTGCATATCAGAGCCACAGTAACAACAGCAACAAGGACAACAACAACAATAACAACAATAATAAAAATGCCCGTGATGGGGCAACATGCACAGTTTAACAAAGAATAATAAGAATAAGGAAGTTTAAAGTCCTCTCTTGTTTCAGAGGAGACCGGATGGTTTTCCTTTGCCATTTATTTTAGCTGTATTTGTAGAAAATATCACAAATTTGTATTTATTTTGGTGGTTGGTACAACAGAATGATTGTTCTGGGTTGCATTGAACTGTTATAAGAGGTTTTTTATCCCACTTTAAACTATTCAGCCTTGCCTGACATGAGACTAGTAGATGCTGGTTCAAACAAAATATGAAGTTTAAACAAAACAAAATGACTTAAGCAGTGAATTTTGGTTTTAAATGAGCCCATTTGGAGAGCTTGGCTTTTTCTAACCTTCTGAGCAGAAGATAGTTTGGAGATTTTGTTCTGTTTTGCACTGCTTCCAGCTGCTAAACAGATGTTCTGCAGGTCTGGACTAAAACGCAGCTCGACTGAGCACCTGGATTCTTTTGAACCACGATGTCAGAAGACCCTCTGAAGGTTGGGGGGGTCGCTCTGTGCTGCTGATTTCAGCAGAGCCTTAAAGTAGCAGTTGGACGTCTACGTGTGTCTCAACAAAACCTCCAATAATCACTCATCCTCCTCTTTATGCTCCGGCCATGATTTACTAAGAGTAATTTTAGATTTTAAATCTTCAGCACATATTGATCCGATTTGTACTCTCGTGGCTTTTATTTGACCATGGATGTCTACCACTGAGCTGTGTTCGTTTAAAGCTCAGAGATCACTCGGTGCTGCTTTGCAGCTTTTTCCTTCCAAACAAACATTTATCTGATTCTCTCCTACAAACCACACATAAGAAACCTCCTAATTAAACCGCATTCAGAGTGTGGTGAAACATTCAACTTCACTCTATCCATCAAGTGTTCCCAATCTGTTAAAATAATCACTATAATGCTCCAAATTTTGTTGATAATATTTGTTTTTTAATTAAAAAAAACCCATGTTTATTTTATTTTATTTCTTACATGGACAGGAACAGAACATGGACTAAAAGGTTCTGTTCAGGTGTGTGCAAACTCCTCCACGTTTGATCAGATCTGAAACACAGGTTTTCCATTCCTCATAAGGAAAGTTGTGTCGTGGAATAAATGTGTATTTGTATGCAAATACACATTTGTTTTTTAACAGTGGGATGCCACAGAAGTAAATTATTTTTAAAAATCGTCCTTTAAGATACTTAAAATTGAGGCTATTTAGATGTTTTTTTAATGAAAAGCTCATGTATGTCCTGTTTTTTGTCTTTGATGCTCCTTTTTTAGTCTCTATAGTTGGAGATTTTATTTATTATGAAGTGTTTTATCAAATGATTCATTTATTCTGTTGTGGCTAAATCATAAAACCCAATTCATGTTGACTGAAAGCAAAGTGGACAGATAAATGAGCAAAAGCTTTGATTTTTGAGCCAAACATAAACAGTAAACAATAATAAACAGTTTTTCACTGCATCCCGGTCTCCCCTGTTGACTTCACTTCATCATCGTTAACTAAATGTTCATGGAAGCTGATTTAGCTTCTTCTTTTTTTTCTTAGTTCAGGATTAACCTCACTGCTTCTTCACTAAAGCCAGAGAGAAAAAAAATTAAAAAAAAAAACAATAAAAGTGAAAATACCCCAAACATCCCCCAGCCCCTGCAGCCATCAGTCATTGATACCCCTCCTCTCCCGGATCATTAGCTTCTTCATCTTCATTCTCCGGTTCTGGAACCAGATTTTCACCTGTCTCTCTGTCAGATTTAAGAGTCCCGCCACCTCCAGACGCCGGTCCCTCGTCAGGTACATGTTGTACAGGAACTCCTTCTCCAGCTCCAGGGTCTGGTGCTTGGTGTACGGACAGCGCTTTTTCCGGGTCGACTTTGCGTGGATCCAACTGGCTGATGGGTTTTCTGGAACAGGAAGGTGTAGATTTAAAGAAAATAGGCAGTCTTTACTCTCTCTCTCTCTCTCTCTCTCTCTCTCTCTCTCTCTCTCTCTCTT